TCTTCTTCTTCTATATATATATATATATATATATAGAATTTTTTACCAACTAAAACATGAGCATTTTCGCCAATTCAAACAATACAACCTCCAAAACATCATGTCTAACTCAATAACCCGCATCACAAAACTCATACCTAACTTCTGAGCTCACTCGTTCCATAGATCTAGGTACAAATCCATTTGGCAAAAACTCCACGTGCAAATAGGAAGATCCAAGTCTTCCACGCACAAGGTCTTTGAATGGATAGTGTTAATTTCAACTTCCATCTCCCTCCTAACTCGTAGAAAGTCAAAATTAGCTCCTACGATCTTTCACAAATTGAAGGGTCCCACCAGTCAAAGAAAGTGATCTACCAAAATCGCGACGCTATGGACAAGTGAGAAATCTTCTTCATGGGTTCAAGTTCGTCCATGAGGTCTTCATCTGCATCGATTAACCACATTTACAAACATTCATCTCCATCTTCGTGCTGAATTTTTTTGACAATTACTAGAAGATCAAATTAATGTGGCGAGAAATGAAGGGAAGTAAGCAATGATTTTGTAGAGGGAAGGGGGGGGTGGGGGGGGGGGGGAATTTGAATTGACAAAAATGTTCATATTTTAATTGGTAAAAATCCCATTTTTTAAATTTTTTTTGGGTCAACTAACAGATGAACCGATAATCTCCAACATTTTGTCCTTCACGACTAATTCAAATGAGAAAGAAAGTTGGAAACAATAGCTACACTTATCCCTTACAAAATGAAAACCATTAGTTAAATAAGTAGAAAAATAATAGAACCAATACTAACTTGAGCTAGATGCGAGAAAGTGGGAGGATATCTATATGTTCACCTACGTACAACTCCTCCAAAGAGTTCGTGTTCTCACTAGAAAAGAGAAAAACAAGGAACTAAAGGCTTGTTTTCTGTAAACTTGCATTAAACAAAGCAATTTGTTTAAAAGGGACCAAGTTGAGCGAAAAATGAAAATGATCATTACTAACTTGCTTCGATTCAGTGGTTCGGTTAGGATTTCTTAAGCTTCAATTCTAATTGGGAATTGTAATAACGAAATTGCTGGTTGTATGAGCAGAAAAGAAAATGCAGATGTTAATGTGACCGAGATGGGATAAAGTGGGAGAACGTCTCAATTCTCACATATGTATAGTTTCATAGGAGAGTTCTTGTTAAAAAGTGAAAAATATGGAATTAAAGACGTTGTTTGTGCACACATGCATCTAAAATAGCAATTTGTCGAGAAGGGACCAAGTTGAGAAAAAATAAAATGAAAATTAGCATAAAATGCTATATATTTTTTTTTTGAGTAATATTACCAGCCAGATCTCATTCATAAATCTCCTTGATCTGTTGTGACCTTTATAATATTGAATTTTGAGTAATATTAGTGAATAAATTAAAAGGAAATTAATGGCAAATTTTGATGGGTCATAGTGGTCGAAAGATGAGTCGGTGTCGGGGGAGATTCCGATGGTGGCAACTGATTTTTGTACTTGCAGCTTCTACTCGATGTGCAGTTGTTGGACAAGGCCACGAGCAAGATGCGGGTTCTTGGAATTGGGGATTCAGGCTTGACCCAATTTTTGAAAAAGTTGCATAGTGCTTGGTATGCAAAAATGTGGGAACCTACAACTCCTTTGCTTTGACGCCAACGTTGGTGCCGAAGGTGGTGACGGCGTTAGGTGGCAATGGTTGTGGTTGAGGGGTAGGGCCGTGGGGTGGGTGAATGAGACACCTTTTTTATTTATTTTGGTTTTTTATTTTTATTTATTTTTTTGGTTTTTTATAGTATGGGCTTGACTAAGTTACCATTTGCCCTCACCAAATTAGGTC